GAGATCGGACTTATTCTCATATATATATATGAGAGTATATAGAGAATGCAAAAAGCTCCCCCGTCGTGTCGCGCAACTTGCTATCCAACCGATCATGAAAATATTCTATAAATATTAAAAAAAAAAAGAAGAAAAAAAAATACTCTGCCATGCAAAACGTGGAGACATAAGAAGTCTTAGAAAGATGTTGTATATAAGAGGCTTAAGACAAGTCTAGCTTCAACAGAACCTCGTTATTGATTCGAAAGAATATACCGATTGTGAATATAGGAGACCTATTCTTGAGTTTTTTTATTGTCATCAAATGAATCGAAAAATTGCAATCATTTTTAGATGCATAAATTGGTATCGAAGTATAACTGCCATGGCTGACATTCTCTTATTGACAAGTTTATTAATCAATTTCTTCACTGCACTGAATTTTTATGTATTACAATTAATTTTATAACGAATTTTAAGGAGGAGAGAAGTAAAATTTATTTATAGTTAGCAGCTGAATAAGAAAAAATTTCTTTGGAGATAAAGTGAAATATACTAACCTTTATTTAGAGTTGGTTTCCATTGTCCCCAGTCGACAAAATCCCCACCTGCCATTTGTCATAATTCTCGTCAACTACCACACCCTGCTCTAGTAAAAATTTAGTAACTTTATAGTAACTTTTAGTTTTAACAATAAAGTCACTAAATTTTTACTAGAGCAGGGTGCGGTAGTTGACGAGAATTATGATAAATGGCGATTGGGGACAATGGTAACAAACCTTATGTTCGTCACAGCTGATTTGAGATCAGTTCATAATCACAACACTTGAGAATTTGCAATTATTTTTATGGTTCAAATGATTGTCAACAATTCAATAATTTAATTAGAATTGAACAAAATTTAAACATTGCACTGTAAAAAGAAAGTACTAAAGCAGTACCAATTTTAGATATCAAAATAGAATCAAATGACAATTTAGTACCTGAAGTTGGTATTAAATTAATACCTTTCTTTTTACAGTGTGCGTATTTGATAAATTATTATTAGACAAAATTTCAATCCTACCCAACCTTGCTGTGGACGAACTTATTTTGGGCTCTTGCTTCCCAACCCTGTTTGTTTACAAATATCATCTGGGAATTAAAGCCTGAGCAGAATAGAAACGCAACCAAAATCATAATCGCAAACGCAACCGAAAGAATGAGTTAGAGAAGGATAGACATATTGTTTTTTCCTTTTCTAACTCATTATTCCGGTTGCGTTTGCGGTTATGATTCCGGTTACGTTTCTATTCTGCTCAGGCCTATACATCATTTTGGGTTGCGTTTTGTAACTAGGCCAAATGCAACGCAAAATGCTGTCATGGGATTGTGGCCTAATTGCCAGATGACATTTGTAGGTAAACAGGGTTGGGAAGCAAGAGCACAAAATATGATCGTTCAAAGCAAGGTTTGGTAGGATTTAAATTTTTTGTTCTCAAGTGTTGTGAATATGAAATATGACCTTAAATCAGCTGTGACGAACATGAAAATTATTCACTTTATCTCCAAAAAATTTTTGTTCATTCAACTATTAACTATAAATAAATTTCACTTCTCTCACATTTAAAATACATAATACACTGTAAAAAAAGGAGTTGAATTTCAACTCCCCAGGGGATGCTATAAAAGTCCCACCCATTGAGGAGTTAAAGCAACGGGAGTTCAACTTTAACTCCTTACACGAGTTGGAGAATATGATCCTCCATTATAAAATAACTCAAAAGAGAGTTGATACTGAACTCCCTAACCTGAACTCCCTTCCACTCTTGGTTAACTCCTTTTTCGAGTTGATTTTTAACTCGAAAAAACTAACTCCCAACTCCTAGTGCCGTTAACTTCCTAAATTTTTTACAGTGTAAATTTGATTTCAAATATTTACAAATTCAGTGCAGTGAAGAAATTGATTAATAAACTTGTCAATAAGAGCATGTCAGTCATGACAGTTATATACTTGAATACGAATTCAGGTAACAGAAAGTGATCACAATTTCCGGATTATTTCTAAAAAAATGATCCCTAATATTTGGATCAATTTGATACCATATATCGAATCAAAACGTTGCATAATTTGATCTTACGATATCAATTTGATACCTTACAGAAAACTGTATTTAATACAATTTCTAAGGGAAGAAACAATTTAACGTAATCATTATTACGGATTAAAAATTAATTAGAAAACATTATATTTTAATAGATTCATTGTCAGAAACATTGATTTTCAAGTGGTTAAATTACATATAGCAATTCAATTTAATAAACGGCGAACAGGTAATAACTTGACGTCGTTAAAACACGTGGGACACATATAGCGAGATGCTTTCGAGAATATACATATACATATTGCCTCGGGGTTAAAAGGTGAATAGACAGCGCACACGCGTGCATATTTGATTAGTGATGAGGATATAATACCCACTTTTCTTTTTTGCTATATTTACTAAATCGATTAAAATTAAAATCATTTGTTTTGCAAATTTCCCAACTTTATTATATATATATATATATATTAGTTCAACTCCTCCGCATTAGAGTGTGAATAAGTACTTTATGCGCGAATCAATTTATTATCGTTCCTTGCTTAAGACCTTGCTTCAGAAAAGGGTCTTATCTGAATCACTAAAGGTGCATTAGCGAGGTGTTTAACATTTAACGAAACATAGGAGGTGGAATCATAAGGTCAAAAAGAGATATAGAGAACCGCGTGAGGCTCTCTCGCGCGAAAGATCGTAAAAAATATAAGGATTTATGAGAGTTTGTAGATCGAGATCGATGACCGATTAAAGTGAATGGTGAACGCAAGGAGATGAATCTCTATCCCTCTCTCTCTCTCTGTATATAGTGATGAACAATATATATATATGACGCATAATAGAATTAATTTAACTTTTGTATCTTTTTATTTCTCATATATATTTATCTGATCTTGGTTTTGCGGTTTCACTAATATGTGGAACAGTGTACGAGTGAAATATAATAATGAGAGAGAGAAGTTGAAAAATAATCTTGAGGAAAACCACCTGGTCTGTGTGTGTGTGTGTGTATGTTCTGATTTGTGACTTTCCCTTTTCTTCTTTGAGATCGGACGTTAGATTCAACAGATCACCATCAGAAACCGCTATGTATATGTGGTTGTAATATGTTGTAATATTTCTTGATGAAGTAGATTTTAGAGATGGTGACATCAGAAATTATTAGCTATTCATCATTTGTAAGATAAATTGTTTGATTCTCCATTTTTGTAAATTGTTTAACAAATTGTTACGTAATTCTAAAAATAGAATTTTTTGGCATATAATCGAATTTAAAAAAAAAATTTTAATTAGTAATTACACATATATACATGAGAAAAGGTATCTGACATGTTTGTTGTCAGAAGATCCGGAAGGTTCCCAGACATTAATGTACGTCGCGTCCGGATGGTATGTATCTTTTGAGTATGGGGGTCGCGTCATCATAACTACAAATTGCATCGTTACACGCAAATTATATACACGATTATAGTTCACCACTGAGCCATGAGAAGGCGCTTGGTGCGTGCGTGTTGTATGAAAATTGAAAGGAAGATATATATATATATATATACAGAAGAAAATGTGCGTCAGAGAAAAAAAGAGACTTCAACTACTACTGTTTATACTTTCAGATTGTGAGCTCAAATTGCTCGCATCATTGAATTTTCATTGCGTTCATATGCAGTCTTCTATTTTGTGTATTATAAGATATGCCAAAGCTCTTTTTTTCTCTTTTGTATATGCCACTTATACTTTCCGGTGTGAAACAAAAAGAAAACCTAATCATCATTGTAGTGAAGAAAAGTAGTTTTGAAACCTTATAATGATGGCTCGTGCCTCGAGCTTTTTTCTTCATTCTTTTTTTTTTCTATGAAAATGCGTGGATTCCGATTTTATGGCGCAAAGCTTCTTTTTGGTAAAAAATGATTTAGAGCAACCTGAAGGATTTAACACTAATAATTATTAAACTTACTGAAACTAATTTAGGACGCAAGGAAACGCTAAAATCACTTTTAGAAATCGATTCTTCTACATATGTATATAAATGAAGTTGACCCCCTTAAGTATTACCATATTCGCACAAGAAAGAATAACATTACTTTTGTGAATCTTGAATAGTATATATACGATTTATATAGAAACTGTTGTCTGGGGCAGTACAATGTTTGGCATATAAATTGTTAATTAACGATTCAGGTGCATTTCTATATTGTATATGAATGTCAGTCCCGTTAGAGGATTTTAAAAATAAAGGGAATATAGAAATTTTTTGTAAATTCATTTACGACAGTATTACCACCCGCACGTGCCAATTAAGGAATACCTTTAAGCAAAGTTTTCAATAGATATCTAATGTATATATATATATATATAGTGGATTATATAGTCTCTCGTGAGAGAAACTCAAGTAGCACACTTTGGCCAGATGCGTTAGTGATTTTTCAATCAGACCGATACTTAATTCAAATGATTTAGTATTAGGTAACTGGAGAAGTGTTAAGATCTCATGAGGAGTAATAGCGGAGTATTTGCAAAGCATGTATATATTCACAAGGTACGAACTAACTACGATCCTTTCTCTTATATATATATTGGCTTTAGCTTTCAGTAGACTCCATAGTCCATATCGTATATATATATATATATATATATATATATATATATATATATATATATAGGTATAAAGTGGATGCTCCTCTGCTAATTTATGAGTCTTTCACGCAAGTCGTCGGAGAGGATATGTGAACGGTGAAAAGCATTGACCTCGCAAATAAACGCTGCTTCATTATTTTCTCGATCGTCGTCTTACTGTCTTATATATATGTTTTCATCCTTGTCAATTCTTTGTAAAACTATTTTTATAGAAACATTTTAAATTTGTACAGTTGAAAAAAAAAAATATATATATATATTTTTAATTTTAAATACAAAAATAAATTTTGTTTCTCCTTTTTTTTGTTGCAGGTTGCAAGAGCTTTTTCAAAAGGAGCGTCAGGAGGAATCTCACCTATTCGTGTCGAGGGAATCGAAATTGCCCCATCGATCAACATCATAGGAATCAATGCCAATTTTGTCGTTTGAAAAAGTGCCTCAAAATGGGCATGCGCAGGGAAGGTATGTTTCGGCACAAAATTGGTAATTTCAATTGCAATTTTTATTAAATTCTGAAATTTAAATTAACATTACGATAAAATTGTGAAATTATTCCTAAAAGTTATAAAAACAAATATCGTAATGGAAATTTTTGTATCAGAAATCATTTTTATTCTCCACAGAATATACGAATCCGAATACGAAATCCATTGATCAGAAAATATTCTAAATCAACAAAAAAAAATTAGAATTAAAAACCATTTTTAGTAAAAGATTGGGAATTTTTTAAATGATGTAGATTTGAATTAACGGAATATATAAAAATAGGCGAAAAAAAAAAACAGAAAACTTTTAATTGTAATCGGGTGCGGAAAGACCGTGCGGTTTCTCACGCCTCCATTGGCTCTTGGCGCTATTCCGGACTTGGTTCTTCACGCTACGATAAGATCTGACCTTGTTTAAGGTGCATGCGCGAGGTGGCTACCACCACGGACAGCTAGCTCTCGACTGCAGTTAAGAATCGTGACCCTTATCGTTTCATCCGTTCCTCGTGGACGCCGCCGCCGACGCGACGGTTCAAGATCGGCTACGAGAACCGATTTTTTTTTTATATATATATATATATAACTCTCCGACACTTTTCTGCTATGAAAAACCGTCAAAAGTCGACCTTGAATTTAATGCTCCAAGACGTTGATCTCCTTGTAAACAAGAAAAATCATCTCCGAAAATAAAATACCAGATAATTCATCATCTAGACGCCTTGAGCTAAAAGAAGAAGAAGAACAAGAAGAGGAAGAAGAAGAAATTGAAACCAAAAGAAAATGATTTTACTAATGATAATTTTGTCAGTAATTAATTTCTATTATAAATTCTGAATTAATCCTTGAAGGGCACATTTCAGAAGAGCATACTTGGGTGTTTTAGTTTTTTTTTATATGAGGGTTAAAATTAAAAAAATTGGAATTTGAGGGATTTTATCGATAAAAAAAAACTTGAAGTAATTTTTTTAAAATCATATAATTAATTTGAAAGAATGATAATTTAGTGAGAGTGTTCTGGTGTTACGAAAAAGTGGAATTTAAATTACGGCATCAAATCTCTTAAGAAATATAGAACGTAATTGAATGGTTTGATGGAGACATGTATATGCAGGAGACATGGAGTGAAAGACACACGTTCGAGAGCTGTACGATTTGTTATCTGCATAATTCATATCTATGCGACTCTATATATATTTGCTGAGTTTTCAATAATATGTACTTCGTTTTTTCGAGAGTGGCGATCGAGATCAATATCTCATCGCCATGAGGATTTATTTCTTCAATCTTTATTAATTAACATCAAATTTTGAAAAGTTATTCTATTTCCATATGATAAAATTATTTTCATTATTGTTTTAGACACGATTTTTTAATTATTAGAAAAATTGTCCTATTTGACAAGATTCCCTGCGGAGATTCCGTAACGAATTACATTGGGAAATAATTATCAGAATCAGCAAGATTTTTCGTTTTCAGAAAGATTTCGGTTGGATTTTCTTTGTAAATATAGAAATTTGATGTAATCGTCAGGGCGAGTTTCCGTTATTGGCAGAAATCGTAAGGAATAATTCCAGAATAGCGAACGGAATTCGGGCGGAAATTATATATAGGAATTTCTGCATCAAAAAATTGAGAAATATTTTCCGCGTACGAAAAGTATTTCGGTAATTTCAATTAGAAACTGAAACGGAAATGCAAATGGAAATTATTATCAGAATTCCAATGTAATCTTTAGGAAACGATTCCCTTTTCTGATAAACTTCCATAATAATATTAGTTTGATTTCTTCCATAAACGAAATTCCGAGGTAATCGCTAGTACAGTATTCCGATTTCGGTGGTTTTAATTTATAAGGAATTAATAATTAATAATAATCCTCAAGGAATTAACAATTACATATAAATTAATAATTACAAATTAATTAATAATTTTACAAGAATTAATAATTCTACAGTAACGAACAATTCTAAAGTAATTAGTAATTCCTTAGTAATTAATAATTCTAAAAAAATTAATAATTCCTTTGTAACAAATAATTCTAAGGGAATTAACAATTCTAAAGGAATTAACAATTACAAAGTAAATAATAATTTTAAAGGAATTAATAATTCTCAAGTAATTAAAATTTTCAAAAGATAACGATTCCTAAGTAATTAATGATACTAAAGGAATTGATAATTTTAAAGGGATTAATAATTCTACAGGAATTAATAATTACAAAAGAATTAACAATTCCAAGGGAATTAATAATTACAAAAGAATTAACAATTCCAAGGGAATTAATAATTTCTAAGTAATTAATAATTCTAAAGAAATGAACAATTACAAAGGAATTAACAATTACACAGAAATTAATAATTCTAATGAAATTAACAATTCTAAAGAATTTAATAATTCCAAAGTAATTGATAATTCTAAAGGAATTGATAATTTTAAAGAAATTAATAATTACAAAAAGTATTAACAATTCCTAAGAAATTAACAATTATAAAGGAATTAACAATTACTCAGGAATTAATAATTCCAATGAAATTAACAATTCTAGAGGAATTAATAATTCCTAAGTAATTAATAATTCTAAAGGAATTGATAATTTTAAAAGGAATTAATAATTCCTAAGTAATTAATAATTCTAAAGGTATTAATAATGCCTAAGTAATTAATAATTCTTAAGTAATTAATAATTCTTAAGTAATTAATAATTCTTAAGTATTTAATAATTCTCAAGGAATTAACAAATTCCATTAATTTTCATCGAAAACTAAAATAAAATTCTGATAATTTCTTACGATGAATTTGTTTCAATCTCACCCGAAATCTCAGGAGCTCCATCCAAAATCTTCAGAGATCTCTTGTAGGTTAATCTTTTCAAAAATAATATTTCGCATAGGTCGGAAATATATAAACATCTAATAATTTTCTTTTCATTGAGTAAAAAATTACACTTGACCCTCTCATGAAATAAAAGTCTATTTCGCTGGGTCATGACATATTTACGCAAAAAAAAAGAAGAAGAGAATTCTTGAACCATGACGTTTTGAAGAAGAAAGTTAAAGATGAGCCTATTAAAGTTAAAGAAATGTCCGTTGCTATATATATATATATATATATATATATATATATATATATATGTTTCCCACAAGAGTTCCCTGAAGAAGAAGATGGTCGCACGTCATTCCTCGCCTGTCACTGCGACATCCGCCCATTACATACATATACGAAGAGTACCTCCTCGCTTTTGATAATAATTTGAGACGTTCGCGGGACACATAAATACCTTCCAAAGGTACATGTAGAAGATCGTCACACACACACATATCAGTATATACCTCGCTCTCAGAAAGAAGAAGAGCTCCACTCTTGAAGATCTATGATGAAGGGGGGAAGTCGAAGATGAGGCGCTTGAGTTGAAAAAAGACGGAAAGAATAAAACAGAGAAAGAGAGAGAAGGTGGTCCGAGGTCAGCGGGGTGCATGACCTTAGCTTGGAGGCCCCTTCCTTCCGTAGGCACACCAAGAGAGAAAGAGAGAGAGAGAGAGTTTGCTAGCAGGCCCTGGGCCCCTCAGGCAGACAGGATACGCTAAAGATTAGCCTGCTGATAATGTCCGCGATGATTACAGAAATCTAGGAAGCCGCTCAATTTAATTAACCCTTAATTGCGAGTCCAAGACGCGTTTAGTGCGGCGACCCCCTCATCCTCCTTCTTCTTTTCATCGCGACCAGGCACTTCTCGCGTCTCCACACGAGTGCGGATGAGAGAATACGTCCCAGACGTAAATTCTCCTCGTAACGATATATACCCACGGGTATCGATCGACTGATAACACGAAGGAAAGATTAAGGGAGAGGGAGATTTGAGTCCAAACAGCCAGTCTTTGATAATGGATCTCAAGGAACGGGAATCAGGTTCCCGCGAAATTTAGCCGAGAGCTGATGCGCGCTAATAATAATCTATATCTTTTTTTTGGGGGAAAATTATAAACGATCTTGAAAATATAAACTTGTAAACAAATTAGAGGAATTTAGGATCCGGGCCATTGGTTTATTTTCCTTCGACAGTTTATGTAATAGAATTTCCATTTGATTATGATTGTTTGATTTATTTGAATCAAATAAATCATTTTTCTGGTTTTAAATTCCTTTCATAGCAGTTAAAATTTTCTATCAATTTGAAAATAATGATTTACTTTTACATTTAATTAAGACACGATCATTAAAATTCAACATGTTTCGTTTCTCATCGCGCGTTGATAAGAACGGAAGCATTACTTCTCATCTTATATATATAGTAATAGAAATAGAGAAAAACCGGTATATCAAAGGGGAAAACTAGTCGAATAGTTTATCTCTAAAATCCAAGATTGAAAATTTGAATATTTATTTAATTATCATGTATCAATATCAAAATAAGAGAGACAGAAAATAAGAGCGACATGAAAGAAACCATAATGGAAATTTGGATTTATTGCCTTAGTTAATTCAATCAGTATGTACATTCAATTCAATTAGTTAGTCCACTGATTAGAGATAATTCGCATTATTAATTAGGTCAATCTTGTTTTCATGGCAAACGATAAATATATATATAATATACATTTATAAACCAATCGAAACCTCGTGTGAACAAAATTCATAGCATTTTCTACATATACACAGTTCCAGTTTTATATATATACTTGGAATATATTTTCTTACATACAAGACTGAAACGCTCCAATTGATTATAATTATATATATATAGTCTCCCTCAAGAGACGCAACGACACTCTAAATTCACATAGGAGAAAATTGTTAATTAATTTATTAATTAAATTACTTTTTTTGCACCATTTTTGCAAAAATTAAAATTATATCCAATTAAGAATGCTAAAAAGGGGGAATTTACGTTTTTTTTACAATTTCTTTTATATCAATTAGTTTTAAATTTAATGGGAAAATTATTTCTTCTTTTTTTTTGTATTTCATTATTTTTACCATTTTTACAATTTAGATGAGTAT